AATAAGCTGTCTAATCCAACTCATAAATGCTGTTGGTTTTCCTGCCAATCAACCAGTGTCTTGAGTCTCTCTTCGTGTTTTGTTGTCCCCCAGTTTCTATCAGCTGCTTGACGTGTCTTAAGTTCTAACAAATTGAGTTAGATCCCCAAAATGAGTAGGCAGAATAGCTAAGATTGGTTATGACTTAGAATTTCTACATTTATTGGGCAGTTTTAGCTTGTCATTTGGATTCTATTTTGTATTGACTTCGTACTGGTTTTTATTGTGCAAACCTTGCATCCTTTTTCTGCTATTTTTTATATTGATGCTTGTTTATTAGACGTCATCAACACAGCCTCCGTGCTCCACTCACTGTTTGCCAAAAACATACCCTCACTGTCTCATTGCTATCTTACTGTCAAACATCATCAACTTTTCTTACAGTTGGTGATGTCTGAATTTCAACAAGGGGCCACCAACCATTGTCCTTACAGCATCACACAGTACAGATGTACATACAGCACTACAGCATGGCCCTATTCTGGATGCACAGTAACAGTGTGTTGTGGGACCCTCAAGATTTACAGCATTGTTTCTCAACCTTGGCAATTTTAAGATGTATGGACTTCAACTCCCAGAATTCCCTAGCCAGCATGGCTGGTTGGGGAATTCTGGGAGTTGAAGTCCATGCATCTTAAAATTGCCAAGGTTGAGAAACACTGATTTAGAACAACACGAAAACTTGGCAGGGAGGAAAGCCTGGCAAAAATGGCTATGTGTGTAAACTCAATATTTAGATTTTTGTCATTAAAAAAAAAGTATCATTCCAAAAGAATCTATAATAGTAGATAAATATTGACAGGCAAATACATAATTGCTTGATAACAATGTTATCTGTATCTTGGAGCAGCTAGCTTCCACCAAACATAGGGGAATGGTTGAATTCCTGACGTCATCAGCTTCTGCTTGCTAGAGCCAAATGGAACACTGTCCAGGGAAGCTTCACTGAGTATAGCAATGCATCCATGCATTCTTTTTCAGTGGTTTCCTCATTTGTGTAGTTTTTTTTATTCATTACAAATGAAAGTACAGACAGAAAGGGAAAAAATAAACAAAGCAGAGGATAAACCAAGCAGGACACCAAAGACGAGTAGGATGGGCTGTCTGACACAAACAGTAAGATGATTACTAATAAAATATGAGCACCAAACAAGAGTACATTTTGTAGCATATAAATAGTCCTCTCAGACATTATATTTAAAGTTTGAAAGGGGGAAAATATTGTGCATATTGATTTTTAAATTTAAAAAGCAGGATTACCCTATAGGGCAGAAGGCTATAACCGTCTGCTGTTAAGCAAGGAACAAGAATTTCCATTCGCCACAGGAAATATTTTATAATTTGTATCTCTCTTGCTACTGTGCCATCTTATTCTCATCCTTACGTGAAGATTCAAATTATCATCCCTCATCCTTGTTTAACTCTTAATTGGTGGCTTATGGGCAAGAATAAAGAGAACTATTTCCTACAGAAGAAATTTACTTACAGCCTGAGAAATATACCGAAATAAAATGATGGGTTAGATTACAAATGACAGAGGGCAGTTATTAAGGTGAGTGAGTAAGAACTATCAAATAACTGGAAAGCTAACATTTTAATAAAACTTAATGAGAGTAAATGACTTACAGAAATGGCAAAAGTTAATACAAGGTGCTGATTTGTGCGAATGAGCTCTCTGCCTTTTCTTTTGACATAAAAATAATGCTGAAAGGAAGAGGGAAAAATCTGTTCAGGTCAGCTTCATAACTACTGCCTAGATGGCTCCTGTGAGGCTAGTTCAGAATGCAACTAACAAAGATTTAAATTGCAAAATGTTCTTTAATATGTAAACAACTCAGGAAATTAAATTAAATTAATTTAAATTCAATTCAATTCAGGAAGATTAAACAAAGAAGTAGAACAATCCAATTGTCCTTCTTTGTCCAAGGAGGGATATGTAGATTTGCCTTCAAGTTTATAATCAGCCAGACCACTGTTCTTTGGTTCCTTAAGATGCGAAGCATTTCCTGCAGGCAATTCAGTTCCAAGCAATAAGACAATAAATGAAACCAGATGGTTATGCTGAAGTGCTGTACACCAGTCCCTGAACCTACAGAAAAATAAGCCAGCATAAAATTTGTGTCCTGATCTGCCTCAGTAAGGAGGCTGGTGAATGGGAAATCCCTTACCTTAATGTGGGATGAAGTGAGTTGAGTGAATGTAGGCAAATGTATGGAGTAATGTGTTTAGCTATTTATCAGGTCACTCAACTAACAAGCCGCAAGTCAGAGATGCTCAGTACCTATGACCTATCAGTCAGGCTATTTCTAAACACAAGTCCAGTGCTGTGTTGAAAGAGGGCTAAATTCATGTCTCAAAATGCATGTTGCAGACCCAGAGGAGTGGCATGGGATGAAGCAGAGGGAGCAAATGATTGTTTGTTTTGAGCAAGCTCCGTTCTTAACTTGTGCTACAAGGAAATAGCAATGCTTACAGTAAGTCCAAAACTATCCTTAGGGCTGACAGCACTTAGAAGAAACTGGGGACGGCCATGGAGCTGGTAAAAGTAAATGGTATGGCTGTGCAAAATCCCTTATTAGTTGAAGCAGCAGAAAACCTGTAATATACCCCGTGGTGACAGAAAGAGTTTCTTAAATGCAGGTCTAGCACTCCTTCAAGAGAACCCTAAATCTGTGCTTATAAAGAGATTGTTAGAATGACTGCAGTCAGATGATGACTGCACTGGGACTAAAAGGAGTTAATTCCTACACCACGTACACTCGTGAAGCAGCAGAAAAAGAAGTCAGCAGCGTTATGTAACCTCCTCCCTCTCAGCTCTCACAAAGAGTTCTCTGCTATTCTGTTCCATCAAGAATGTAAATTATCTATCTGTTACTATGTAACCTATGAAATGATGCTGAATTAGATTTTATGCAACTAACTCTTACCAATAAGCATCCTGCATTTGACAATACCTCTGCCAACAGGTAATGGGGTCCAAATAACAAGTTATCTGGAAAAAAGAAGTTTTTGTTGCTCAGGCTGCAGATTAAGCTGCTGTAAATTTACCCAATGGAAGCTACTCTACAGAGGCTGGGACGTTAGAAACTGATTCAGAGACAGAGTGGCTGGCAAAAGCTACAATCCAAATATAATAAAGCTAACCAGTAAAAGTTGCCAGCTATGGAATTATAAAATGGAAATGCCTCTCTCTGAGGATGATTTATGGGAATTATTACCACAGAAAGAGCTTGAGATAGAGGAGATAGCAATCCAAGAGCTATAATCAATTTATCTATGGAAGATGTGCAGCCAATTAATATAAGAAGAGAAAATACTGCTAAAGGAAATGTAGATTTGCCTATAGAAAGTGCTTGAGAGGGCTAATTTAAATAGTTAACTGTATGAGCTAAGGAGTTTGCGTGGAACAAAATTGCAAAAATCCAAAGAAATGCAGGAATATGTCTACTGAATGCTAAAAACTATATAGCAACTCAGAAACATGGAAGAGGAAATCACAGTAGAGAAACCATGTAGGTGCTAGAGTGCAAGTTCATGCTAGAGTATGTAAGAGTCAAGTTGACTGATGAATATCATCACCACAGGAGGGAGAATGCGGGCAAGTAGGCAAAATGAGATAGCTCCTAAGCCCAAGGGGGAAACAAATTGAGAGGCCCTGCCCTGTTTTCACTGCAACAAAGCAGGGCACCCAGAGAAAGGCGGCTCACTCTGGAAGATTGAGGATCACAAGAGGGCAACTGCTGAAAGGAAAGAGGCAGTCAAAACCACAACTAGTAACATGAAGAGAATGGATATCTACAAATCACAGAATGAATGCTTCAGGTAGGCAGTGGATCTGAAGGGTGCACAGATTCTAGGGCCAGTGGCAAAAAAAAAAAAAAAAGCACAAAATTATGAATATGAAAAAAAATAAAGTTTACCTAGCAGATGAGAAGAACCTAACTGTGAAAGGAACTGAATAGGAAGTCTTTGGCACTCCAGCACCAAAATATTGATGTGAAGCACCCCCTACTAAGAAAGCTGCTTTCCAAATGAGCTCCCAACTGCCCAACAGAAAACAGGAATGCAGGCATCCTGATAAAGCCTTGGCCACAGATCGGCAGGACAGCCTTATGAGAAGAATGAACCTTGGACACTGAGCCACGAACCATTGAGAAAGGATGTTGGAGTGGCAACAGCAGTCAGATCAATAGTGAACCAGGACTAAGAGTTAACTCTTAATTCTTGTGTACTCATGACGGGGGAAGAAAAGTGAGGGCCAGTCTGTTACTGTTCTCAGGCATGTATAAAGCAACGTAACAGATTCTTCTTATTCTCCCTATTCTCCCAAGTTGCTTTCTGCTATTCTGCTTCATCACAATGAAACTGGAGACAATCTCTTTCTATGTAATCTATGAACCAGAGAAAAATATTTACTTTTAAACTTTGAAATGTCTCTGAGTTCAGCTAGATATACCTTTGCTAATAGAGCCCTTGGAAAGCAACAGTTAAAGTTAAGACAAAGACAACATTATGAGGACATAGCATAAAACATTGACCGCAGCATATTTGTACTATGGTTAAGGAGTCATAATCATGGATGAGTCCATTGATTCCCATCTCCGTACACTTTAGCCATGGTCAACTATCAAATCAAATTACCTTATTTGAGGTGCTAAGAGAGCCCATAGTTACTATACAGTTCTATAACAATCAGTCTCACAACAGTAACATAACAATTTTCCCCTGCACTTTACAAAGCTAAACAAGGCAGTTTATACGGGTTAAATCCGCATTTCAGAGAATCTGTTTTTTAAAATGTGTCTTGCCTGAAAGCAGAGAGGACAATAATGAGCAAGATGATTCTTATGAACCACATATTTCTTCAAGAAAAAAAATCAGATGAACAGGGACAAAATAAACATATATTTAACACATGTTCTCCCTCTTACTCCCCCCCCCCTTTTTCTCTCTCTCTATAGGGCTAAATATTTTCAAGGAAAGAAGGTGAATGGGGAATTTGAGATCCGAGTGGAACAGGTCAGTGAGAAAATGATTGTCAAAAAGCAGTTCAGGCATGTAGTTCACTCCTGACTTTGCAGGTGTCAGCTAGGAAGAGATTTTTATCTAAGAGCATTTTGAGGCTTACCTCAGACTTAATTGAATTTTCTGTTATGGTAGAGTACAGAGTGTACCGCCATGCGCTTACTTAACTATGCTGGAGAATGTTAGACCTTGTTTGCTGCCGAGTGAAAGTGCTATCTTTCTGAGAAAAACAAGTTGCTGTTCCTAACAGAAGAACAACTCTGTTCGGAAGAAAAAAAATAGTTTTATAAGTGAAATGTCCAAACAATTAAACCTTGTGGAAAATAATTTGATCAATATTGCTTCACATTGTTTTTCTAACAAAAATGCAGTTATGAGTGAGGATCTACCTATGGAGAAAACCCAAAAATAATTTTTAAACATCAAAATGAATTTGTTTTGTGCATTTTTGTAGCGTCTCACCTCCCCTGCATTTTAATTTTCTGTGTATAACTTATAGCCTGCTTTTGGAGCAATTCAAAGAAGAATAGTCCCCCGCCCCCACAATAAATTATTGACTTAGAGAAATTTGTAAGGTTCTCTGCAACACTATCAGCTACTATCCTCCCCATATCAAACCTTTTGATTTGTTGTTTTGGCTTCATCTCCGATGTGCCAAACTTCACACTTTTGACATAAATTAGGTCAGGCTTTATTTCTGATTTTTTGCTATACATATATTTTTCCTCATGGCCCTATTTTTAAAAACTACTAACTTTTCCCACCCTAATGAAGTTAATCAACTGAGCCGCATCTGGCTGGGGGATTCTGGGAGTTGAAGTCCACACCTCTTAAAGTTGACAAGGTTAAGAAAGACTGACATAGGAGTAATCTGCTTTTTTTAAACTCAGATTGGGTGACTATTCCTGACCATTTTGCAAGATACTTCAGGCTATATAAATGCATTAAATAATGCATAATAGTTGTGTATTCTGCAAGCCTGAGGAGAAAAGAACCTGCCTTTTGCCCTGTGTATTTCACAGTTCCAGGTTCACATGAATATGTTGAACTATTAGTATGGTAAGCTAGCTCACAGGTTGTTCTAAAAGGGCCTTTCCTAACCTGGTGGCCATGTTGACTGAGGATTAAGGTCCTTGAAGTACAACAGAATTAGAGAAGCCTATTTGAAATTGGCCTAACCTGTAGTCATTTTGCAATGTTGCTTCTGGTGGTCAGGCATGAAAAAAAGATTATTTTTAAATAATTACATAATATAATGTACTGCCCAGATTGACTACACTCTAAAATTGTTCAGTGTTTTCAGATGGAATTCTCTCAAAATACAATGAACCTTTTGGCTAATAGCACAAGCACTAAACTCCGTTAAGTTTATAACTGGCCAGTGATGCCAGGTTTCAAAAATAGTCCCAGATGTGGTGTTTGAAATAGGCATTTAAGTCCTCTTTAAAGAATGTTCCTTTGCGATTTGGTCTGGGATGATGATGATGATGATGATGATGATGATGATGATGATAATAAACCTAATTCAGAGTCCACGTTGTATTATTATTAGACCATAAACTCTTCTTGAGCGTTTCCTGTGCAAAACAGCACTAATTAGACATGCTGCTGCTGTGTGGAAATCTTGAGACAAACATTCCATTTGAAAGAGAAATTTGCAAATAGGTCACTCTACTCTGGGTGTTTTGTTATCAAGTAACCCTGTGTTCTTTTATTGTTCCACTTCAGGCAGAGTTTTCAGAACTCAACTTGGCTGCTTATTCAACTGCTGGCTGTATGATAGACATGCAGGTCATAAGGAATGGCACAAAAGTAGTCAGGTGACAATATAAGTTTTTTTCCCCTTCCAATTAACCTCTTTGTTCTTGCTTTTTTTTAAAAAAAAAAATCTGTGTTTCTCAAGGTCTGTCAATAAAGAATAGATAGTTGCAAACAACTTGTTATGGCCCCAAGCCGTAGAAGAAAGATCAGTCTGGGTTGCAGATGTGTTGATTGTTGAAAAGGAATCTTTTAGAAACAGTTTTATCTCTTGAGCTCTTGGAAATTAATAAAATTGTTGTGGAAGAAGAGTTGCAACTATGCTGGTAGGAAATCCTATATTCACAAATATCCCAAATGCTGATTAGGACTTCTGCATGTCCTTGGATTAAAAATATATAAGTAAATGTATTTTGTTATTAGGAAAGTAGGCTGGTGGCTTACATTCACAAGCCATTAAAAGAAGTGTAAGGTTATATCTCTTCCATACCAGAAAATTGTTGGAATATAATTAGGTCACATATTTATTTCATTTGTGGGTAACTAATATAACTAAAATGTCAGGACATACCATCTTGGAGAAAATCTCTCTCTATGGTAGCTAAGAGTTAAACCTGACCTGATGGCATTTAATCAATCAAAAGGAGATTGGGAGAGCTAAGGCAAGTCTTTTTTTCCCCACACTGACCAGTGTACAAGCCTTGGTTGTTGATGTTAATTTTGCCTTCTTAGTTGATCTGCTCAAGTCTAATCCTCTGGCAGTAGCAAAGTAGTTTTCTTTGCAGGCTAAGTGCTACTATGCTTACATTACCTGGTTTGAAAGCTAAGCAGGGTTAGATCTGGTTAACACTTAGATAGAAAATGACTAGGAAACACAGGAGATGTAGACACACTGGAAAATTAAAAAACATCCTGGAATAGCAAACCACTACTGTTGCCAAGAAAACAGCATGGTTGTATCCATGTAGTCATCAGCAGTCAAGCTAAATTTATGGACATTTTCACCTTTTCCTTAGACAGTATGAAACAGTTATTTTTTATATTTATGTCTGTAAACATTACAACTGAGCTGAAAGCACTATTTCTGTTCTATGTTGATTTTCATGTTTGCTAAAAAGCACCTACCACCTCTGATTTCCAACAGTTGTGGCACATTTGTACACTGTACTTCTTAGTCCTGTTTTCTTTCTTTTCGCGTCTCATAGTCTCTAGCTTTGCGTGCCCATGTGCCCATTAATCCTCTGATGCTGACTTCAAGATCTCACAAATGGGTATTAAGAAAATCACATTGGTCATCACAGCCAGTTAGATAATGGTACTAAGAAACCGCAATGAGAGAAATATAAGCAGATTAAAGAAACAGTGTAGGTAAAGCAACAATGCTGGCAGACAAAAAGCTCATCCATGTAACCAGTTTGCCATACTTTCTTCCCAGTCCAGAATTGAGAAGAAATCCTGACCTCAGATTTTCAGTGTCAGTGTCATGCCGATCAGCTAACGATACTAAGGTTTGTTGGTCTTTTATGGCCATTAATGATGGTACATGGTCAAGGGTAGCAGAACGTATCCAGAATTTTCTGATGGAGAAGACCATGGCTTTACCAATGCATGCTTTGGTTGTTTCATGCTTAGGTTACTACAATAGCTCCTGGGAGGTGTTCCCAATTTCTTTCTCCATCCCCTGATGTTAGTCCAAAAGAGAGTCTTACAGATTGTTCTGGACCTTCCACACTTTTCTCATGTCTCATTACGCTCCAGGGTTCTTCACAGACTCCCTATTCAAGCCAGAGACCAGTTTGAACTACTGGCACTTTCATTCATAGTCCTCCAGACATAACCCAAAGTACCTGTCTATATTTCTCCCTAAAATTCTGTTCACAAACGTATGTTCCTTTGAGAAAGTCCTTCCTTCTGTTCTGACTTCAGGGATACAGTCTCCAGGTTCAGGGACCTGGCCCAGCAACTCTGGAATCAGCTCCCTCCTTTCCCTTGTCTCTGTGAAAGAAATCTGCTCTGGCAGATTACTGCAAACCCTCAGCATTTGCTCAAAATAGGTGATGATTTGGCCCTTGGGAAACTCAGCACAGCTGTCTTGTATTCCTAGCCTTGAAATAATGTGGTAGATACTAAACATGGGTGAAGGTAGATAGGGGAGATAGATGTGCTTGGCAGTGTCAGGATGAAAACATACTTCTAACAAATCTTTTGGAAAGATTCCCTATTTCTCATCCTCTCTTCTCTAATTTCCCATGCCTTTTTCATAGCATTCAAATTAATCTCCATGGGTATAGCAAAGATATCTGTCCGGTGCTTTAATCCCTGACCTCTTGGTGTTCATATATATATTCTCTGGTCCATAATCCCAACCAAATGAAGACTTGCCCAAATCAGTAGAAAGTACAGTACCATGCATATAGAGGTGGTTTCTAAATCTGAAGAGATTGTGATAATACAATAAAAGCTATAAATAAAATCAAGCTGACCAGTCTAAAGTTGTAAACAGAATTCCCAGGTATTGAAACTTAATGCCCAATTATGTGAATACTCAGCTATAATAGATGTCAAGAGTCTCTTAATTTTTTAGAGACCTCTACAATGTAATACTATATTAATAAATTGTTCTTTGATTATGCTTCTTGGATGATCTGTCCATTTGACAATTACTGAATTACTTTGAGTTTCGTTTAAATATTTGATAATTTAATGTTTTATTGTATTTTAGATTTTTTGTGCACTGTCTTTGCAATTATTGGCAAAAAATGCTGTAATAATTTAAACATTTATTTTTAATTATTAACGTATTCCTATGGTATCCTTCAGCTGGTGAGCTGTGAGAACAGCATTTATTCAAACACCATGCACGCACTCACACACACCCCTATCCATAAACAATAGCAGCCATACAGCACAAAAGAGCAATAAAATATATCCAACAAAGAGCAATAAAACACAAGATTTAAGAAAACTAGTGAATACACTGGTAAAAGGTCAGGAGTCTTTAACTATCACTGGAAAGACATTCATATTGCTTTCGGGTGAATCTCCCTGGTGAGGGCATTTTATTAGCAGAATGTCACAATTTAAAAGACATTTCTCCAGTTGACACTTGTCATTTCAGAAGACAAAGATAGAACCCAAAGGCCACTTTCCAGGGGAGTAAGCTAAAAAAAGCTTACTCCTGGTCCAGAGGTGGCCTGTATGTATATCAGAAACCTTTGTACTGTCTTTTTCAAGTCTTCCCATAAAATATATTTTACCAAATATTTGAAAGACTGGACTAAACATAACTCAGCTGTGTAAACTGAAATGTCATTAGTATTTTAAAATCAGGCCAGAAGTAAAATTCAGATGAGTAAAGGGGTTTTGAAGGTGATATTTTGATCAAATAATTCTTACTTAGTCACAGGCTGACTTTCTTTATATGTTAGTTTGAAAGGTTTCTAGGTCATTTTAGCTAAATTGTGATAAACTGGAACCATTTATTATAATGTACTCAACAGAATCATGTATTTAGCATGATAATGAAACTCGAGAAAAGTTTATGGGATTCTGTGGATCTTTATCAAGAGAAAATAGATTAGATATAAGAGTAATCATTCTTCTGGAGGCATGGCTGCTTAAATAGAGCAGAACAGAAAATGAAAGAGCAGTGAGTCAGCCTAATAAAGCAACACCACCTATAAGGAGCAAATTGCAGTTATAAGAGTGCTAGTACCAGGACAGAGTGATTCAAAGCTGTGGTCTTTGTCTGAATTTCAACCCTTTTGCCTAACAGCATTTATTCTTTATCCTGATGATTGAGGAACAATCACTTGTCTGTCAATACAATAGAAAGGTCAGAGGTTGTTCTGTTTCCTTGATATAATCCTATTCATTCTTTAATTAAAACTGACTCTCCCATTGATTCTGGATGTCAGTCCTAATTGTAATCTTGGCAGGGTTGTGACCTGCTGCACTAGAATTCCAGATTATCTGTAACAATTTAAGTTCTACATTTTTGTGCATTTATTACAAAGATCTCTGCATCAGGAGGAATTGTAGGAATGTTAAAATAATAATGGAATCAATATAAGTAGAAACACTTAAGTATATATAAAATAACTCCAATCCATAAAAGGTATTCTGGAATAATAACATTTCCATTGTCTGCAAAAGATAGTTTCATATGTGATATGAGAAAACCTGGAGGGTGTATATTTTATGTTTTTAAAGGATGATAGAATGGGGTGACACAGATTATGTTATTCTATACTGAAATTCATCAAAAGATATTTTTGATGACAGTAATTAACCCCTGGCACTGAGTTATAAAGAGATGGACTGATCAGAAGAGTCTTTGCCTGTCATTTATCCTAGACTGAGAAAAGGAGTGAGCAGAAGTCATAAAGAAAAATATGTTACAAGACTAGGAAAAGGCAATGGGCAAAGGTAACTTCAGAAAGTGTTGAAAGAGGAATGAATACAGAGGAGTGTGAAGCAAAAATCTGCCAGGAAGCCCACAAAGGGAAAGAAAACGAATTGCAGAGAGGAATGACTAGAAGCTGAAATGGTAAGGAAGATTGAAATTCAGTTCAGTTCACATGACCAGGCTTGGCCCAAATTTTATTCATTTCTTTAAAGATAAACTAATATCAGGAGAAGAACCTAAAAGAAGAACATGGAAGAGTATAATACAGGCATAAGATCTAGAAGCAAGCAAGCAGAAAGGATGTGCAAGGGACAGATACATAATTCAAACAGAGATCCTCCAGCAGCTGAAGAATAATTCAGGAATTGCAATTGTTTGCAATTTGCAATTATTTATTTCTAGCTGGGGTCACTAAGGAATAAAGACCTACCTTGGAGTTACATCATATAATCCAGAACCCATATTAGATAAAGTTGGAAATAGGTTGGATGAAGAAGCAACTTTATACCTGCAAAATAGTTCTACATAATCACACCATGAGCCAACCCGAAGTAGTTCTGTTCCACATTGCTTCTTTATGAGAACCTAGAGGAATTATACCAGGTACTACTTTCCTTCCCTTTCCTTTAATCTGGGTAACTCTGTTCTTTTTTTAGGAAAAGTGGTAAACAAAAATTAAATAAACAAAAATAACACTGATGAATTATTACTTCAAAGACTAAAGCTTTGTGGCTCAACAAATTTTACATATGTTTTCTGAGTATCTGCTGGACAGACACTACATCATGGGAACATGTACATACAAACATTACAGATTATTAATAGTTTCCATAAGATGTGGATTGGCATATTTTTAACTTATGCTTTATATTATTTTATTATTGTTCTATTATTTTGTTAGCTGCTCATAAGAATCAAATTAATATAATAAAGTTTAATTCACAAATGACAGTGTGCAAGGTTCTCAGTTCAAAACTTGCAGTAAAGTAGCTGGAACCAAACTTTAATTCCATATTTATGTAAAACATTCCCTAATTCAAGCCTATTCACTATTGTATTCTTCATGTAAATCAACCAAAAAAAAAAACATTAAATTTTATTTTTCCTGTTCATATATTACTGAATGTCCTGTTAACGAACAAAAATCTGATTTACACATTCTCTACCTGGACTTCACAAAATTTAGTAGTTCCTTCTTGTTCATATACCCTTTCAATCAGAACTCTGCCAAACACCCAAGGCATGCTTAACAAACTAATCCCACTGTAGTTTTTGTATTTCCTGTTGCAACCTTTTCTTTTGTATAAGAAAAAAATAGCAGCATTCTTCCAGTTGTCAGGCAGACTTCCCAGTCTTGTCAAAAAAGTATCGCAGTCACTCTATATTTTTCCAGCCACATGCACAACCCTACCATTTTTCAAAATTCTCACATTTATGACTGTCTTTCATCCATTTTTCTTGGATGCTAACAATTGTACCATTTATTTCAATTCTACTTTTCAACATTTCATTATTATTTAAATATAAATCTCTGAAATTCTCATTCTAGTATTCCCTCACTTTAGTCTCCTTCAGAATCATGTTATCACTTTTTATTTTTAGTTCTGTTCATTCAGTGGAAGTTCTCCATTTAGCTCTTTTCACCCACTTCCAATTTTTTTTAATTTCCATCATCAAAATCACTCTGCATTTTTCTGCCTCTTTTAATCATTTTTAATCATTCAGGAATACACTGCTCTTTTTGATTACATTCTTTGCAACTATGTTTTTCTCTCTATACACATTATACAACATCCTTCTCTCTTCGTATTTTTTGTTTTCCACCACCATTTTTACTTAGTCATTCTATCAAGCAGTCTTAACTTCACACAGTCTTTTTCTCACTCTTCCAAGTAGTTTCTACATCTTCTCTCCTTACATTCACTTGCTATTTATTCTTTTGGGAAATTAATCTATCTTCTAATACTTTTTTCATACAGGATTTTTACTATAGTTGTCCATTCCTAATTACAGTGACACCAAAATGACTAAAATGACATACCAGGGCAATCTCCAACTTATTTGCATCACAATATCTCCCAAAAGTACACAAAGGGGAGAGTTTGCATTACAATGCATGTTTTGTCATTTATCCATACCCCTCACACCCAAATGTCTGTGACTTGTACATTCTTTTCTTACCACCATACTATTTTAATTCTAATTTATTAATTATAGAAATATTTTATGCTTGATTTTCTTTATCATTCAAGTTTGGCACTGTTATGTTCAGTTAATCTTGGGGGGGGGGTGATAAAAGAGAAAGCAATGAAACAATTCAGTAGAGAAAATACAGCAGTAGCAGCAAAATATTCATTTATACCCTTAAGATGCAGAATGAGCTAAACTGCTGGATAGAAGTCTGTAATCTGGGCATTGCTACTTAAAATACTTGACTCTGAGTCCTTTCTGGTCCACTTCGTAGGGTGGCTGAATATATAATAGGGACATAAAGCAGAGATAATTATTGTTTCATTTTTTCCTTTCCCAATCTGTTTATAAATTTAAAAACAACGAACAAACTCTCGAATTGACCCTGGAAGTAAATTAAAACAGTGCATTGGCTAAGACAAGGGTGGAAAACTTTCTGGTGTTTGGGAGCTATACTTCACACATTTAGGGAGTCCAGTTTGAGGCGAGGATTCTTAATTTTTAATAAACCCCGTCTTTCATTTTAAATATTAAAATTAAAAAATATTAAGAAATATTTTGCTTAGAAAGTTTGTACTGTGTTTTCACTTCTTCCCT